AACAACAACAACAACAATAATAATAATGGCAGTTTTTGTTTTGTTGTTTTAAATCAAATACAATAACATTCGTGCTTGATAACTTCTTACATTATCAATAGAAAATGTTGTGTAAACAAACTGTTTGCCTGTTTACRTTCCTCATCATGTGACCAACAAATTAAAAGATTTACAAAAAATCTGGTCAGGGGGTTGAAACAATGACATTTATTATTCAAAAAGAGAGAACAAAACAGATAAAATGGTGCATTAGATAACTTGATAAAGCTGTAAGGCAGGCACTGTCTAGATGCATTTTGTCATTCACAGCCGCAGTAGTTGCTACAGATACAACTCTAGCACGCTCAACACGATGGGCTTTTATCCAACTGTAGAGCATTCTTAGGTAGTGCATTCAATTCGTTTGCTTGTAAACAAGACAGGAGAAGCTACAGGTGTTTAAAAAGTTAACCCTGGAAGTGAAAAGTGAAGCAAACTAACCATTTAGACTGTTCAAACCAAACTGTGAAAAAGTCTGACATCATTTTTTGACACATCCAATAAACAAAACACAAGTGCAACAAGAACCCTTCAATAAGGCCCAGGTGATGATGTTTGCATTACTTTAAAGCTTCCATTGCACACTGCATTACTGCACCTCACATTAAAACAGCTGCTCAGTGGCGCTGGGATTTAATTACATTAATTACACAAGAGCTACAACTAAAGAACCAGAGGCCRTTTCTGGCAATAAAATGAGTCGTAGTCACTTAAAATAAACTTTATAGGATGAGCCGCCTAGCTCTGCAGAAGATGTGTTCACATAAATACAGGTGATTTTTTTTGATAATTCTACTGAACACAAAGTTTTCTTTGAGACTGAACTGTTTAAAGAAAAAATGAGATTTAAATCAGTTTTTACAGCTAAAGATTCAACATCATACAAGCAGAAAAATTAATCAAGTAAGCAATTATTATTGACTCCATTGCCATAACATTGAAAATAAAAGGCTGTTTGTGTCAATATTACCATCATCATCATCATCATCCACAGCCAGTTCTGAGCATCAGTGTTCAGATCCATAAGAAACACCAGAAATGTACAATCATGCACCTCTTGATGAGCCAACAACTGCTACATGATGTTATTAATATCAGAAAACAAAATAAAAAAACTTTGACCTGTCTTCTTTGTGACTAAACTGGTCTCAGATCAGCAACCGAACAGATAAACCCGCAGCTCGTTTGGTCTCATTTTCTGCTCATTTGGATCTGTTTAAGAAAGCGGGTGGGAAGAGTCAACACAAACATGCACGTTACAAACAGCTCTGCATAAACAAACTTACTCCTACAGCCAGCTTACAACCAGTAATTAACCGAACATGCACATTGTTTTGTTTTTGGAGAAAATTGGGTAAAACCGGAGCATGCACAGAGAAAACATGCAGAAAGACCTGATAAAAACCAGAGGCTTGTCGGTTAGCTCTTTCGGAAATAGAAAGGCTGAAAATGAAATAGGGAAATAAAGAAAAAGAATTCAAACATGCCACACTTCTGGAAGTTCAAACAGCAAAACATAGTAAGACCAGCTGTTCGTTTAGAAACACATTTCTGCATTCTCTCTGCTGCTACGAAGTGTTTCAAACACTGTAAAGTTTGTTTTTTGTCTTTTTTTCACAGTTTTGTTGTGAACAAATAAGACCATAAATGCTGCTCTGTGGCTTAAGATTAGTCTGGATTCAAACAGGAGCTGGGACAAAGTGGTAAYGCTCTCAGGAACCAGAACTCAACAGTTTGAACTGATTTTTTTTTTAAATCATAAGAGTTCTTGAGTAAAACCACGCAGCTCAAACTGCTGCCAAAAACATAAATGATGAAGATTTATTCAGTTGAAGAGTCCACAAAGAGCCAAAAATGAGACTACAGCCATCAGACAAAAGCTTTGTTTCTTTCAAAGGCAGCTTTAGAGGCAGCAGCGTAACATTTTCAGATTTTTATTTTGTCCACTGATGCCGTTGGTTCGATGAGCTTCAGCCCAAAAAGTCAAAACTCTCAAACAAAGCTCAAAAGCAAAAAAATAAAAAATTGTCAGATGCGTTTTTTTTTAACTCAAACCTCTGTCCAGAAGTCGTCCTCCGTTCTCATCCAAAATTCATCTGAAAAACTTTTCAAGGCAGAAAAAAAGTAGAAACAGTCATTTTCTTCTTTTTTAAAACAAATCGATGTGATGAGTTTCTGCATCATATTTTCATCTCCGTGCATGTATGATGTATAATTTGTTGCTTCCTCTGACAATCTTTTCATTCCTTTGTAGAGTTTTTTTTTTTTTACTTTTATTTCTGCTCCATAATTTCTCTTTGGACCTCTGCTACATAATGGTGGTCTTTTCCATGAGCCACCTCCATGATCCTCAAAGCCTGAGGACAGAACAGGAGACAAAGTTAAAACAAACTTCAATCATAGACGATAGAAGAATTCAGCTCAATTGATTTCAGTTGAAGTTTACAGATAATCTGCTGGTAAACTTGCTCTACATTCTTGCTCTCGTTTCATCCTGGGTTTTGTTTCCAAAGAACAAAAAGTCTGGAGTTACCTTCTTCAAAGCTTTGACACCTTGTGTCTTCTTCTCAAGGCCCAAATACAGACGACCCAGTTTCAGATACATTGACGACACATTCAGAGAGTAGACAGGATAATGAACACTGCAGGGAGAGCACAGCTATTCATCACACCGAGAGAGGACTGAAGAACTAAAACGTAGAAAGTTACGATTATGATAGAAAAAAAAACTATCAGCCTGTGAATTCAGTAACAACATGCTTCATGTGAAGAACCACAAATGAAAAATGCAATAAAAGTGAATAAACCATTGTTATGATTGTAAATTCATTAAATTAACATGTTATTTTGACTTTCACACACTCCAAAAAGAGCTGAAGAGAAAAACATCTAATAAAGTCAAAGATAAAATTATTAGTTTTTCTTATATGGAGCCAGACTTTATTGTAATATTTAAGATGATCTTGATCAATAGTTTCAGGTTTTCTGAAGATTTTCTTTTCTTTTTTTTAAGTTTTGGCTGCTTTTTCACTCTTTCAGTCCAAGCCGTGTACCTGTGCGGGACAGCATGTGCCTTAAAAAACAAAAACAGTACAAGTGGAGGACTTACAGGAAGTGTTGGGCCTAAAAAAACATTTGAAAGTTGTGAGTTTTATCACCTCAGCTTGTTGATCTTCAGTAATCACCTTCTTGGTGATAAAATTATTATTTTATGAGTTAAACTGTTTTATCTTATATATATA